GTATGCTCTGGATTTACAGTGTAGGGGTTATGCATGCATCTTGGTTTCACCAAGACCCGCGGGGCCAATCCAGTAACCGCATTTGCGTTTAAGTTTCAGTTGAAAAGTGGATCGTGACCGCCCATACTGTGGTGGTATTTGGCTCCTCAACACAAACCTTATATGTTACGGTTGTGTAACGTGACTTAACTGCAGACTCGATGTTAATCCTTATTAATAGTTAAGTTAGGTACTGGCTGCATGGTTACTGGTCCCTGATCCGCGCCAGACTATCATTTAGACATCGAGACTTTAATTATCACAAACATTAAGTTTGGTTGTTGTTTGGTTTTTTCGCGTGTTATAACCAAAGACAATTTAATTTTGGAAGCACAAGCAATAATCAAGCTATTTTTGTAATTCTACTGCATATGCATCATTTTACAATCGAAGAAAAAAAGGAAAGAAAAAACAACGCGACACCTGGAAACGTTTACAGGTGTATTCATACGAGATCCCCCATGTGGTATAGATGGGTGCGCATGTGGTGCAGGCGGATTGCACGCGGTACAGGCGGAGGTCCCCGCACTGCGCACCCTGACACATATCCGGGGGACTGTGCAAACAGGCGCGTGTAATCCGGGGGGGGGGGGAGGCCGCTGAGCCAATGGCGCTGAGCCGTCACGTCCTCGCCGCTCCAGTCCCGGCTCCAGCCCAGGCCCCAGCCCCGGCTCCAGCCCAGGCTCCAGCCCCAGGTCCAGCCCAGCCCAGGCTCCAGCCCCGCCTCCAGCCCAGACTCCAGTTCCGGCTCCAGCCCAGGCCCCAGCCCCGGCTCCAGCCCAGGCTCCAGCCCCGGCTCCAGCCCAGCCCAGCCCAGGCTCCAGCCCTGCCTTCAGCCCAGGCTCCAGCCCTGCCTTCAGCCCAGGCTCCAGCCCAGGCTCCAGCCCAGGCTCCAGCCCAGGCTCCAGCCCAGTCTCCAGCCCAGGCACCAGCCCAGCCCAGGCTCCAGCCCAGGCTCCAGCCCAGGCTCCAGCCCCGGCACCAAGGTGCCCGGCACCAGCCCAGGCTCCAGCCCCGGCTCCAGCCCAGCCCAGGCCCCAGTCCAGGCTCCAGCCCAGCCCAGGCTCCAGCCCAAGCTCCACCCTAGCCCAGGCCCCAGCCCAGAGGCTTGGGCTCCAGCGACCGCCGCGGCTTCGCGCTACCCTATCGGTAACCCGGGACTACCTCACCCAATCCAACCTATTGCCTCCGTTATATTGTTCCCCTCAAGGCGCTCCCCCGTTATTATTGTGGGTCCCACAAAGCGTCCTCCAAAGCAGTCGGGGAATCCCCTTTTCCTAATCCCCGACGCGCCGCGGCCGCCCACCGGGACTCACCACCGCCGCGCTAAAAGGTACACAAAAAGAATCTGTAGGCGGGCGGGGTGGGGCGAGCTAGTAGGGGCGGGGCGGGGCGGGGAAGCCATGAATAAACTCGCCGGCACCACTTCACTTGGATAGCAACGTTTGGGGCGGGGTATCACGCTTTGCTCCCCAGCCCCTCGGAGATTGGAGCTGCGTTTCTTTCCTCCTTTTAAATTGACTGTAGATGTAGCGTTTGTAGGAAGAAGAGAGGCCGCAAGATTCTGCATTCGAAAGGGACGCAAATAATTCTCCCACCCGGCAATAATTTCAAAACGAAAACCATTTAACTTTTAAACGAATGTGCCCAATTTGTCGATGTCGATATTTTTTGAGTTCTACCTTTTGTTCCACTGGCGTGTGAAGAAAATAACGATCCTTATTTCGAGGAACATCTAGTATTTCGGGAACTTTTGGGAGTTCTACCACATTATCGTGTTCATGCCACACTTCATGAGCCAACTTGTTTCGATTCATCGAGTCTTCTACAGACCAGCAGAGCATTGAGATGCCCTTCGGCTGCCGATCCGCCTCGGCGTGGCGTGGCGTGGCGCAGGCGGAGCAGAGGGGACGGCGTCGGTGTCAAGTTCGCCCCCCCCTCCCCCTCTCCCTCCGAGCCAGCGGTAATGTCTCACTCGGCGCGGAGAGCCAAGCGACGCGGACCCGAACCCGAAACCCCATCCACTCGCCTTATCGAGAAGTGCACTTTTTTTTTTTTTTTTTTTTTTTTTTGCTGCTTTTGCTCATCGATCGTCAAAGTTTTTTTTTTTTGCCGTATATGGGAGGCGCGGCGACCTCCTTCGTGTCCTCGTTGCGCGCCCATTAGCAGCCCTGTCGCGCCGCTGTCCCCATAGCCGTCCTGGCCGTGAGCCACTATGAGCAAAGTTGGCCGCCGCGGGCGCGCCTACCGCCATGCGCGGATCAGCCAGATTATAAATCTCAGTCCGGCGGGCTTAGCGGGCGACCGGAAGCAAAGCGGGGCCCGTCGCGCCACCACGTCATGCATACATTATACTTCCGGCCGTAATTAAAAGTTGGGCTCATCGTCCCCTCCTCCTCCTCCTCTTCCTCCTCCTCCTCCTTCTCCACCCCGCCGCGCGCGCCCTTCTGCCCCTCTCGCAGGGCCGCGCGCGCCGCCTCAAGTAACCTCTGCCGTTCAGCATTATTATTCCGAGGGCCTCGATCAATAATGAAACAAATAAGCGACAAGGACGACGAAAGTCAGGCTTAGCCAGTACCCCACCCCCCCGCCTTCCCAAGCCTCTCGCGGTGTTGCTCCTGCATGTCCCCCTGTTTATCATCGTCTTTTTTTCATTTGCAATTTTGCCCGTCGCTCTGATGCTGGTCCGTGTTGGTCGCCTTACTTATGCGACAGCCAGCGTCCCCAGGCCCAGACCGGGCGCTCGCCGGGCGCCCTGCAGCTCGCGCTTAGGCGACACGCCCGCAGCGGCGGCGGCCGGGATGCCTACCCGGTGATGCGCAGGGGCCCGTGAGGAGGAGGTCTGCAGGGGGGAGCTGTGCAGAGAGCCTGTTGCAGGAGGTCTGCGCAGAGGTGTGAGCAGCGAAACGAGCAGTCGAGAGATGGACTTGCAGCCTCAGCCTGATGTCCCACCACAAGCAAACCCTCATCAATTGATACCATATATAGCAGCTTGCACCATGTAAAAGTGAATTTCTTAACGACCGCCGGAGAAATTCAAACGCAGTAGACGAGCATTTAACTCCGCCCAGACTAGTCTTGCCCATGCCGTCTTCCCGCTGCGGGGCGTGGTGGGGCGTGGCGGGCCCCCCTTTTCCGAGGCCAATGGGGCCCGGACCAACCCGGCCGGGCCCCGACAACCCGACCAATGCCGTTTCAGCGCACAGCCAGGCGGGGCTGCGCCGGCCGCGGCGGCCCTGGGGGCATGGCCCACCATGGCCCGGGCTGTGCCGCACAGGCTGTGCCCACCACGCAGCCACCCTGACACCCTGCTGAGCATTGGCGCCAAGTAGTCCTCTGACGTCCGCGCGCGTCTGCGTCGCCATGGCTACGGTCAGCAGCGCGCGCCCGCTCCCTCTCTCGCGTGCGCCCTTCTCCCTTCTCTCCCCCCCCCTCTCTCTCTCTCTCTCTCCTTCCCCCACTCCCCCTCTCTCTCCATTTCTATCTCTCAATCGCTACTGGGACCTCTCTCGCGGGTCGCGGTCCCGTACTCGGGTAGGACGACGACGGCAGACCTCCCCGATGACGCCGCAGTGCACTCAAAATGTCAAGGACAATTTTTGTAACTAGCACCGGACTTCTGCGTGCATAACTGAATTCAGATACAATATTGTGACTTACTAGTCACTAAATGTGTGTCGGTAGTTACAATATTGTATCTGAGCTAGTTATGCACACAGAAGTCCGGTGCTAGTTACAAAAATTGTCCTTGGACATTTAGAGTGTGGTCGTGGGTCGCCGCGGCGCTGCACTTGGCGGCGCCAACAGCAAATCAGATCAATATCGTGATCACGGCGATACGTCACGTCAGAGGCGGCAATTAATTACTACAACAGTAATCAATCAAGGCGAACATGTCCTGCTTTAACCCTCTCCACCCCTTCCCCCTCCTCCAACATACAGCACATGTCTCCCTAACAAATCGCCTGGGGTGGGGGAGGGGGGGGGGGTTGCATCGCCGAGCACTCAATAGGACCAGACTCGATGATGAGTCCCGAGCCCGGAGCGTTAGCGCTCGCGCGCGCCTGTGTGTGTGTGGGTGTGTGTGTGAGCGCGCGCGCGCGTGTGTGTGTGGGCGTGAGCGCGCACCCCTGGCACAGCTCTTAATCACCTCCGCGAGCGCAACGTTGTCGTGCTGAATGTACAACACTGGCATCCTCCCCCGTGAGGAAAACTGGGTCAAATTATCTCTGCGGAGAAGCACGCGCGCCCGGGCGTGGCCTCGGCTCTAATCGGCGGGAGGGCGGGGCGGGGCGGGGCCGGACCGCAAGGACAGACAGACCGGCCTTGCGCGCCCGCCCTCTGACCGCTGCTGCCACTGCCCGCGCAACCGCGAGGGTTCCCTCACCATCACTGTACCGGGCGCACTTTCTAGGCAGCCCCCCCCCCCCCCTAAAGACTGTCTCTACCAGAGGGCAAAGTTCCCTCCCTCTTCTTCTCACTCTCTATAAAGCATATGCCATAGAGCGTGCCCTGGAGTTTGTGGGTGGCTGGCGCGTTTTTTTTGGCATTTACTTGAAATGTGCCGCTTGCTGGCTTGCGGGTGGTGATAGTGTATCGCGCGGGTCGAAGTGAGGGACCCCTCGGCGCTGACCTGCAGACTGATTCCGAAGAGACCTCAAGGGGCGCTGCCGTATGAGTGCGACAAGGACGGAGTTTAGGAAGGGTTCTTCGGAATCAGTCGGCTGACGTCGCTTCCTCCGGACCCGCCCCGTCTTTGTGTAGGCTGCTCCGCTCCGTCGCCGTGACGTCACCGTCAGGGCGAGCACGAGGGTGGCGGGCGGCGTGGGCAGGGCGAGGGCGGGTCACAGAAGTACCTCCGTCAACGCCTCCGTCGGGACATCCGCCACGACCGGGCTTAGCGTGGTGGCTGCAGGTTGTGGTGGACGTCGAGCTCACTGCGGCCCGGTGCCTGCTTGCAGGTCTTGTTGCAGGCGCCGAGGACGGCGAGGCGTTCACCGTGGCGGGGGAGGGCCTCGCCGGCTTCGCGGCCGGGCTGACGGGCCGCTCCTGGATCGACGATGACTGGCGCCTCGACGCCGAGCTGGACGACCTGGACGAGATGGAGGAGGCCCTGAGCTCGGTGGGCTCGCCTGCGCCGTCGTCCTCGCCGGACTCGCCATCGCCCACGCCGCAGTCCATGCAGCAAGCCTCCGGCGAGCAGGGCGGGGTGCGCGGGGGCGGCGCCAGGTGGCAGCGGGGCGGGCGCACTGGGGAAGTGTCGCCGCCGCCCATGCGAGCGCCGTCAGCGCGCGCTGCAGCCAGGGCCGCCTCCCGCCCAACCAGCGCAACGGTAAGCGGGAAACAATCATTAAAGATCCAAACAAAAACTGTTGAAATAATTAAGAACTTTAGAACTGTACCGAGGAGTCGACGACGACTCAAGGGGGGCATGAATAGTACCTCGAGTACGCGGAGTACCCGCCAGTACGCCCGAAGTACGCGTAGTGAATTACATGCTCCCAGAAATACGGACCTTTGATATCACATCAGAAAGTGCTTCCGTTGTTTCAAAAGGAAATTTCAACATTGGTGCATTGCTAAATTCCGTAAATACGGGGGAATTCCCTTTTATAAACTGAATTCAGCTTTACATCAAAGTGAAAATTTTATTTAGAATAACGGAAGCAATTGTTGGCGTGAAATTAAAGGTACTTTTTTCTGAGTGCATGCAGAGTACCGGGTGTAACTGTGAATACGCAGCAGTGTTGCGGGATTGCATACTCAATATGGCCGCAGGGGCCATGGCCCCTTACGGGTGTAAAGAGTAGGCAAATCCGCAACACTTCTGCGTATTCACAGTTACACCCGGTACTTCACATTTTCTGAGTACACCTGGAGTACGCAGAGTACACCAGGGGTACCGTTAGCTCGGAAGGCAGGAGGACATTGTTGTAGGCCCCTCAAACGGTACCGACCACATTCGTAGTTATGCTGCACTTGTATACGAGACCGTTTGTGCTTGATCCAACTTCAGGGTGTGGACGCGAATGGGACGGGCCGGTCCGGCTCCAGGGCGCGTTCCAGGGCCAGCCGCTCCAGGCGGAGGAAGCCCACCCTCAACGCCCGCGAGCGCAACGCGCGCCGCCTGGAGAGCAACGAGCGCGAGCGGATGCGAATGCACAGCCTCAACGACGCGTTCCAGGTAACCACAATTTAAACAAATTTTCCGCAAAAGCCTGACAACGCTCAATCAACTTCGCCATAACTTCGTTACAATAAAGTACAAGTGGCTGACTTACGCCGTGCACTCTCGTAGTTTTACGGCACCGCATGCACGTGTGCGGCCGGGTTGCCTACTCGCACGGGGCTGTAAGGAGCGATGATAGACAAACCCGCCCGCCCACGTGTATGCGGCGGTGCAAGTGTAACTGCGAAAGTGCGCGGCGTTAGTCAGCCACCTCGTACAGTCAAAGATTACTTATTGGAGATGAGAATTTCGTATTGCACGCTAAGCAAAACTATTATTGCTATCACTAGGCACTGCGCAACGTTATTCCGCACGTGAACGTCGAGCGTCGCCTCTCGAAGATTGAGACCCTCACCATGGCCAAGCACTACATCCTGGCGCTCACCAAGACCATCAGCGAGATGCGCAACAGCCAGCGCAACCAGGTGGTGCCCGCGCCCTCCTCGCTGTCAGTGCTCGACCTGGACAGTAGCATGGACGAGGACAACCTGAGCGTCGTCAACAACCTGATGCAGGTGAGAGCGCACTCTTTGGGGATCGTCGGGGATCGTCCAGAAAGCACGACTGTTCTTATCAGATTCATTCGACAAATTACGGTAGCTCGGCGCCTGCGAGACTCAACTTAAGCCTCCCCTCAATACACACATGCACTGCAGGCGATATGCCATCTACCCACCAGGCGCTTCGAGAGTCTGTGGCTAAACTTTGCAGGTTCAAATAACGGACGTACTCTCCGGATGATCCCCTAGGGACTGGGCTGTGTGTGGGTGGGTTTGCATCGGGTTCTGGCGTTCGCTTGCTAAAAAAAGACACCTAGCGCACCTAGATGATTTTTGTAACATGACGTGCGAGTCAAATAGCACAAGAATCTGTCGCCACACACGGAGTTCACCATCATGCAAAAGTCCAAATCCTTACTGACTGCGTCCTCACGCTCTGATCCTCAGCAGTACGTCGACAAGCTGCCGCTCTCCGACTCGCCCATGGGGCTGGACTTGTGCCCCTCGGACGCGGACGGCAGCGGCAGCAGCGCGGCGGGGTCGGCGGTCTGCGGCGGTGGCGGCGGTGTGCAGAACCTGCAGGACGCCCTGGTGCTGCAGGACTCGGGCCTGGGGGACGGATACAACTCGGGCTACAACTCAAGCGACCCGGACGGCGATGTGGACGCCGACGTGGATGTCGAGGCCCTCGTCGGTCAAACCGTCGTCCCCGACGAAATCTTGGCCTTCGATCCCGTGCTTCTGGTCCCCTCCGAGTGGTACGGAGAGGACCCCTCCCCTACCCCCGCGCCCCCTTGCGCCTCCGTGCCCACGACGTCCACGAGCTGCCCGACCCGAAGCGTCGCGACGCCGCCCGACGCGAGCCCGCGCCTGCTGCAGGTACAGTGGCGCAAGGATTAGGGGCTCAGCCGCAGCGAGCGCAGCACGGGGGAGCTGGGCCCTTCAGTTAGCTACCCTTGGGTGGAAGACGTTACGTGTGTATATTCCGACATAGCTGACCAGGTGTCATAGAAGAGCGGCTAAAAAGGCTTCACTAGCAAAAAGTTTCAATTCGATTTTCTTTAGGGGATTCTTCATCATTCATCATTTTCCAAAGGGTCCTTTGAGTTGAAAGTAATTAAATCAGCTCATTTAATCTCTCATATTTATGTGCAGAACAAACTGTGTTTTTTGAAAGTTCTTTTGCCAAATCTGGTGTATGCCCGCGTTTGTTAGTGATGTGATTAGTGCCATATTATTACAAAACTTTCCAGTGGTTCAGCACTTTACTTTAGAACACAATAATGGTTTATCCTGGAATTACCTGAGAGGATTCATTTTAACATGTCAAAAGAATATTCCGTTCTAGGGAAGATAGTTCGGTAGTTGTACTTACAATTGTATTAATAAATAAGAACTATTAACAATAAGACAACCTGCTGTAAATAAAAACAAGGTCAGAATTTTACCAAAAAAAAACTAGCTTTAAATAAAGTGTGAAGTAAAATGTTATTGTAAGTAGTCCTTGTATAGGAATTTTATGTGATTTTATTAGAAGTTATTTAATGAGTATACGCTTATAGTAACAACTACATTTAGAGCTCAATTAAGATTTCCCCTTCAGGTTGTATGTGAAATGGTTGAAATTTAAACCATGTATATAAGATGCTGAAGAGCAAATGGGTCAAAATGCACACAAATTTTCGGAAATTCAGATCATCCGGACTGTTTGACATTGTCCCTCGTGGAGAGAAGGAGACTGATGCAGCATGGTGCGGAGTCTATCTGCACTGGATTGGTTTGAGACATGTCAACCTCATCTCTTTGTTTCCAACTTAATTCTGCAATGAATTACAGAAGAAAGAATTATTTTTTGGACTTATGTTAGTGACATGCATTGAGGAAGTAAGAGATTGATTGATTTTAAACAACGTTGCACCATCACCATCACTTTTTCAAGTCTAAACAAGTGCATGTGTTAAATATTTAATTCAGTGATTGTAGAGATTAGTAAAAACTTTAGCTGCCATAAATGCAAAGTATTGTTAACTTTTGCTTCTTTTGGTTGTCTAGTCTATAAAATTGTAGATATTAAGTTTATGGTATGCAATACAAACCTAGTGTTCAGCTTCTGTAGATATGCATTTTGATTTTGTTTTTAGTCATCTATTTTGGTCACTGTGACCTAAAAACTGTTTTTTGTTTGTTTCTCAGTTGTACAACAGCTGATTTAAATGCTGCCATGTAATTTTGGCCAGTAATGTCTTATGCTACTGTGTACAGACCGGTGGAGCCCCTTGTGGAACCGTTTTGGGTAGTGAAACCTTGTTTATTCCCTTGGCCTCGGCTGGTAATGGTATGGGAGAGTGGGGCACATTTTTTGGAAATTATCATCTAGCAGTCCTACTTTAGGTAGCATTACGGATTTCAGGGTTGGTGTGCCTCTATTCAACCTTCAGTCACAAGAAACCATACCCCTTCAAAAATATTTGTGTTGTCTCTCAAATTATCTCGAGAAGAGACCTCTGCAATTGTATGTGCCCCGGGGGTGGGGCACTAGCTGTCACCATTTCTATATTGGTATATATCTCATGGGAGAAGTGGATTTTCAAAATGGTCTTGATGGCTGGAAATGAAGTGTCAATGGAAGCATGTCACCCCTAGTAAAAATTACACTTAAACCATTCCTGCTACAACAAATCATAAAATGAATGACAGTACCTGCCCCCATTTTGGGGAATTTGGGGGAATTACAGTCACAGAATCTTTGGATGTACGCTGCTGCCATACCACTGAAAGTTTTTGTCACCCCCATCTTGCAAACAAATTAAGATGTAAAGAGGTTATGATTTCACAAATTTGCTGTCTGAAAAAGTGAATGGGCTGGTATTGCCAGCCTGTTGACAGTATGTACCCCTGACAGTTGGTGCCACACTCTCTCCCTTACATTAATCCATTTTTAGCAAAGAAAAAGTAATTTCTCCCAAATTTTCTTTATGAGACAAAAGGTGCGACTTGATAATCTGAATGGGGCAAGACACAAGATTAATCTGGCAATAATTTCCCTCATAATTTTTTTTTCCAGAATAAAAGGAAATTAAACAAATTTCAATCTTTGAAGAGCCATGAATGAACATTGGCATTACTACCTTTCCAAGACAGCTCTGACAATCATCAGAGAAACCTTCACAAAGTTTCAAAATGTTGACATTACAGCATATTATTTAACCTAGATTATTTTCATGAGAAGTTTCCAGCTATAATTAAAAAAAAATTATAGCCTAGAAGTCAAGAGAGTAGATATATAAGCCCTAAAGCTCAAAGATAGTAGGCTAACAGGCCTATGTATTTTTTAAGGCTTTTCGCTTTTGCTTTTGTTACGAACTTGTATAAAAGCTTGAATTCAGTTGATTTAAAAAATGAACTATAGTAAAAAAAAGTGAGGTCTCTCGTACCTCAGCAATCAGGATAGAAACTTTCAGGATTTTCAAATTAATTTTTACCTTCACTGTTGATATTGTTATAGGTCAAGCTTGAAATCGGGTGTTTGAAAACCTCAGTGAAGTGTGACCATATTGTGTACATAACTGAAACATTTTCCCACCTCTATTAATCCTCTCACACTACTGTAATGTGTTAATCAGTGCAAGGAGTTTTTAACATACCTGATTGTATTGAAACTACATGACTACCAGCCTGGCAAATGTAAGTTTTTGAGTGACTGTAGAGGGTATCCCGCTAGATGACAAAGAATTTCAGACATCACCCAAAACATACATTTATCCAAGTCTAAGATGTATGACTGAGAGAAGAGAAAAAGATAACAAGTTTTTATGAATTCAACTGAAACTCACTGTATGCCAAAATAATGTCAATTTTCATCAATTATCATGAAAGAATAGATTGCAACTCAGTAGAATAGTCAAGCCAGCCATACAGCAGAGAATTGAACCAAGAAGACACTTATTTTCCAATTGGTTCTCGTTAATTGAGGGGGACTAATAAAAAAGGCTTCTGCTGGAAATATTACTGTTGTGTAATTCAATGGGCAGCTCGCAAATTGAGTTGCATTTGCATTTATCTTTAAGCTGTGTGCTTAAAAAGCTTAATACTTGTTCTTTAAGAGAAACTTCTAGTAAATTGTCTTGAGAAAATTCATGTTTTTCTGTAGGTTTAGATGTTATGTTTTGTTGGAGATTGTGTGGCTGTAAAACAATAAAAATAAATACTGTAGAAAAAGCAGAGTTTCCAATAGAAATTCATTCTCACCTCTTTATTGGTCACTGTGATTGGGACAGTATGAAATATAGGATTTGATCCGGAAGACACTAGATGTTATAAATTGCACAATCACACAGTACCTAGGAGAAAATAAAGAAACTGGCTACTCAGATTCTTCTTCTGACTCCTCTTCAGCCTCTTCCAGCCATTTTATGAATGGAGCTGCCTGCAAACAAAATTACAATGTTTCAAGAAACTTCTGCTGATATACAGGACATAAGTACCCTTCAAATGCAAATAACCAACCACTCTGCACAGATCTTTGGATTCAGGATCCGTTTTCAGGTCGGAATGCCACTTCAGTATGAGTTCCTCACTTAAAATGTCTTGATCATATAAAACTTTGAGAAATTTGACTACACCAGACAGCATTTCACTCTCAGCCCCTGCTACCTCCTGAAAAACATTTTGTAAAAAGAAGTTTTACATTATTACGCATGTAAAGAAAAAGAGAAGGGAAAACCCAGCAGCAGAATAATACCTTTAATGCCTGTAAGCAATCAATTTGCGCTACAGGATTTTTTATGTAATTTTTCAAGATGGGCATGAAGTATGTTAGCATTTGCCATAGTTGTGTTAAATATGAATCTGACTCTGGTAGATTCAAAATTGCTTTCACAACAAGCAAATTAACTTCTCTCATGCTAACATTGTATGCATAACGAGATGAATTGATTTCAAGAACAAGATTATCACAATGGAGTTTATCCTCAAAGCCCCTTTTTAAAGAATCCACAACTTCATTGTAGAATACTAAAAGAAATCAAGTTAAATTAATTACACAATATAACAGGCAGTTGGAGAAAGCAAGCTAATTGAAAGAGTGAAACATACAATTTGTGTCATCCAGCACAGGTGACATTGTACGGTCACTGGCATCACTCAGTTCAGATGATACATCACTATCAGCATCAACTTCATCATCAAAATTTTCATTAGAGAACAGCTCATTCCAAATTTGTGGAGCACGGCCATCCTCTGAATCAGATTCATCATCATCCAATTTTACAATATATGCAGCATCTCCAATTCGTTCAAAGTCTTCATCACCTGCAAATAGATTTTAAAAAAATAATCAAGAACGGGCACCAACACTATTCATAAAGCAACCCCTAAATCCCTAGACCAGCCCAAGCGACTTTGATAACATTTTAACAATGGGAAATAAAACAAAACATTAATAGCAGTTTCAAAGAAAACTGAGGTCCATCTGCCCATACAATTTTTTTTTTTAAATTAGGCCAAACGTTAAAATTTGAGTTAAAAATGGAGTGTTGAGTTGAGTTGTTATTCACTAATATTACCCAGAGAATTAATAAAAGGTTATTTTTTGGGACTTATATGAGGAAGTTGCCCAGTGTGGCGGAGCGTAGCGGGGAACCAAAACAAAGCAGAAAGCAACAAAAGAAAACTACGCGATACACCCAGAAAGCAATATTTGACAAGGTTTCAATCAATGTGCAGCCTTTATATACACCTATGCATTCACATAGCACTTCGAGAAAAGAACTTAAACCGCGATATAAAGCATTCCTTCTCGTAGGTTATGGTGCTTTGTTTTGTTTCGCGCTACGCTCCGCCACACTGGGCAACTTCCTCATTGAACAATAACTCTAGAAAATTTTTGTGACTCATACATCTGCCATAAGAAAATTGATTAATTAAACCTTGGGGTTGATAAACGCGCTGGCCCTACTTCGCCCCACTTCGCATATATTCTTGAATAAAAATAGAAAAATCACCTGGTGAAGACTGAAGTCTTTGGGAGCATTCAAATTTAGCAGGACATTGTACACCTTGCCCTAGAATACAACCTTGAGAAAGAGAAGCGCCCTGTCGCACAATACAATTACAACCAACAACCGTTCTAATGATGGAACATTTATCCTGAAAAATCAGTTCATTAAAAATTTAATTTTAAACCATTGTTAAAAACTTTCATTTGTTACTTATTTTTTAGGTACCTCAATAATGCAGCCATCCCAAACAAAAGAATCTTCAATTTTTACACCATTTCCAATCTGGCAATTGCGACCAACAACAGACCTTGTAATGCTTGAACCTTCTCCAACTTTAGAGCCACCACCAATCACACAATCATCTTGAATAATGCTGCTTCTAAATAATAGAAAAAAATGTTCTTTAATGGCTCCAAGGTGGATGAGAAAGCTAAGTTTACTGCTGAGAAAGGCGGTCACCTTGAGAGTGTGACAGGGTGTTGCTTGTACACATTTCCTTTGAGATACTGATATGGCTTTTCATTATCAGATATTAACATGTCAGGAACAAGAGGATAAGTCCATCGATGAATCATGTTTTGACTGAAACCACAGGAGACACACAATAGTAAAATCTATCAAGAAAATTAAAACTTATCAGGTGTAATGGATAGAATTGATACTTACGTAACGTTCCTATACATAGGCCAGCTATTAACAGATGCTGCATATTCACTGTCACTGAGAAAATATGCAGCCAAAGAACTAGCAAGAATTTCTTCATTCATGAGTAATCCTTTAATAAAGTCTTCACATGTTTGAAAATCAAAGTTGTCACTGAAAAGTGGCAATACTGATGCAGAGCAAACAGAGACATGGGTGTCAACAAGGTCATTGTATATGTCTATTGATGGGAGATCCATAATAATTTCCTAGGAAATTGGTAGAAATGTAGTAGAAATGGTAACTGAGCAAAATAAAACATCAATACAAGATGGTTTGAATATTTCATACCATTGGGATATGAACTTTTTTCTGATCAGGTGATGAAACACGTTTCTGATGAAAGAGGATTTTACTAGTCTTCTTGTCAACGGCAACTAGAATGTCATCTTGGGGTGCTCTTCCTGGGTGTGAGGGTCCTGCATACTTGTATACGACAGTCATTGCCAGACCTTTGTCAGTTTTTTGAAGTCTCCTACAGTAAAGAGGAAAATGAAGAAAATTTAAATGAATGACAATAGAGCTAATAATATACACTGATTATTCAAAGTATAGAAATAACTCACCTGTGCTTCTCTAAAATTGGTGATAAGTTAACATTTGCGACTGTGTCACCCATAACAAGAATAAAGTCTCCTCTTATGAGAGCTTTAGCGTCAAGATCTCTCATTGCATCTCCAAGCGTTAGGCATGTTTCCGAAACGATGACATTCAACAAAAGTGGACTAGCTTCAGAGGACCACTTGGAATTTCTGGTGAAAAGTACGAGGAAGAGGATTTAAGAAGAGAGCAAAAAAGATGTTGTGTTCACAGTTAGGATAAATACATACATACATACATACATTAGACAATTAAACTTACTTTACGTGCTCTCTCACTTTTTCCACTTGTCTAGTACAGAACAGAAACACTTCCTGAACACCTGCATTCGACAGCCACTCAAGGGTGTGATCCAATAAACATGTATTGACTAAAGGCAGTAGACACTGAAACACAAGCATAAGATCCAATGTATGAATTGAATTGACAATATGATAAAAACCCTAAAACTACCAGCAGATGGAAAAAAAATTTGGAATTTAAATGGGTTATATGGAAGACAATGAACAAACGGAAAGAAAATGATCGGAACTGATTATGTCAGTGACATAATGTTGACGGCTTCCATATGATGTCAGTGCACACTTGTCCAATCGAGACAGCAGTCGGACTAGTTGAACAAACAGAAACACTGCCTCTCGTTAAATGAAGAAAAGACAATTAACTGACAATTCACCCTTTATTTGATGTACAATCAAAGGGATGAAGACCAGGTGATGAAGTAGAGGTTAAGACAGATAATAACTAACCGAGGGCACATCATTGGTCATTGGAACAAATGCATCGCTGAAGTTGTCAGCAACTACAACCGCTTGAACAACATCTTCTGTCTTAAGAGATTCCAAATCTTTATTGGACTTTCCACGAGACATCTTGCAGGCACGGAGAAGGCTTGAAGCTCACGATGTAAATAAAGGACAACGTATGGAAGTGGGGGGGGGGGGAGGGCACTCACTGTGTAAATACAACAATAAATGCTTATCGGCACGACATTCGTTCGAGTCTTATTGTTTATTTGCACAGCCCCGTCGTCTCGCGCGAGTAATGTTTTTGAAATCTCACTAGTAATTTCTGCGGTTTCTGCGTTTGAACTTAACGTTACTTATTTATCTCCACCTCCACCGTCTTCAAGCTGCCAAGCTCAGAGACCGACAGAAATGATGCCGAATGATGGGGAACCGACATGCGTTGCAGCAATCATGAACAGTTTTAAACGAAAGGCCTCTCCGAATAGGTTAGTGGTAGATGAAAGGAACCGGCCCGCATCGGCTGTGGCTACAAAACTTGACTTTGACAGAGGGAATTTAGACCTATCAAATGAGGAGGTGGATGGAAATGTAAAGAAAAAAAAGTTAAGTCTTCATGAATCACCATCCTCGACCAGCGCCTCTCTTCTTGATACTACCATCATTGGTAAGGGCCTATGTAGGATATTGTGGTTGTTGTTATAAAGGAACCTTTTGCTCATTATTATCTTTTAAACCTAACTAGAGTCTCCGTGGGAACAACGGCAGCTGAAAAGACAGCTAATTGATGCGAAGGCCAAAATAACAGCTCTGGAAACACGAGTTGGTCAGCTTCATGCTCTTCGACGAGAACTTGAAGTGGTGTTTGAAGCAGAAAAGAATAGTCTTTTACAGCAGCATGGAAGAGATGAAACCAGGGTAAATTTTTGTGACTTTTATCTATATTTCTTATCTGGAAGCATTTACAGCTCTGGTACATTTGGTTTCCTTGGATTAAAAACCAGGTTGTATAAGAATATGTTTTTGTTTTCAGATACACACACTAGAAAATAGAGTAGCTCAGCTTAGACGGCGGGAATCTGATCTCCGCGACGGTAATGTTAACAAACTTCGTGATCTTGAAGACCAGAATTCACGCATGGAACAAAAAATTATTAATCTACAAAAAGAAAAATCTCAATTAACCGATGACATTTTTGAGGTAAAGTAACAATGGTTTTCTGTTCTAGTTTTTTTAATAGTTATGCTCTATTTAATTGTTATGGTAGAATAGCCCAGTTTACACAATTTTGTTCCCTCTAACAGCTCAAGCGCAAAGTAAGAAGTGCAGAAAATAAAAATAATGATTATGATGCAGAGATTCAAAAATTAAAATCATTAATTAGCTTAAATCAAGAAGAAAAGCAGAGGTCGTCTTTATCAAATGACACTTCTCTTCTCACTTCCCAAAATGAACGCCTCACTTTTGAATTGAGAGAAGCCCAGCGCGCCATCAAGGTTTTTGTTTAAAACTAAAATAAACTCTTCTGAATTAAATAACTATCAGCTGAACTTAGACCTCATTTCATGTTTGCTTTGTGTTTTGGTGTGTTTTATATTATAGGATTTACAGTGTCAATTGGAAGATAGCAATGAAGCTGTTTCTAACGTTAAAGCACAGCATGCTAAGCTCATAAAGATTCCTGAAATGGAGCGAGAGATTGAAAATCTGAGAAGTAATGTTGTTAAATTAAGGTGCTTATTTTTTCAACAAAGTAAAATTTGGATGCAGAAATCTTGTCTTTCATCCCTTTTAACAGCAGTTTGGGAATTTTGTTGTTAGTTATCCAAAATATTTCGCCTGTCTTTAGGGATGCAGTTCATAATAAACTTCTGTTGGAGGAAGAAGTGGCTGACCTTCGTCAAAAGTGTGCCTCTAGTGATGATCGAATACAGCGTCTTGTACAATTAGAAGCTCAAAAGCAACTTCTAGAAAATAAACTTGAAGACTGGAAAGGGCTAGTAAAAGACTTTTGTTCCTCATCTAGCAGTAATGATGTAAGTTCATTTTATTTTTGGCTCACAGCAATGTCATATAAATCCTCTCACTTTATTATTAACACATTATTGCCTTCTTTAGGGTTGTCCCAGCTTAATCCGAAAGCATCTTCAGGAGATGCAGCAGTCTGAGCTACTTCTCTCCTCTGAAGTTGCTGATCTACAAACTAAGTGAGTATTTTGATCAGAAAAGATAACACTTAAGATTCACATTCACTTTATAGTAGCATGCAACTAATTATTAATCTAATCTATCTTCACTTAAAATTCCAGATTGAAATCTAGCTCAAGTCAGTTATGCAAAGCACAAGCTGAAGTATCAAGGCTTACACTTGAGGTTTCTCGATTAAAAACGACCCAGGAGCAGCAGGGAAACCTCATTAGACGCTGGCAAAAAAAATTGGCTCTAGTCAGTGGGGTAGGTTTATTTCAAGCAACATGAATCCAAATAATTATCTGATGTGTCATTGTTGAAATAACTTATTCATTAAACAACTCTAGGAAAGAAATAGTTACCGAGAGCAATTAGATTCTTATGAAAAAGAATTGACAATGGCAGTGTCCAGTCAACAACAACAGACCTTAAGACCACGCATTGAGGCACTTGAAAAATCTGTGGAGGGTTACCGAGAGCTTGTTGAGAATTTGGAAGCAGACTTAATTTCTGCTTTAGGTCAAGGTAGTCTTACTTGCACTTAAGTTTTAGTTGATTATACCTAACACACAACTGTCCAAATTGATAAAGATAAAAAGTAAGGTAAATGTCTGTTTTACAGGTGGATGTAATGGCTTACTTGAGAGGCTTCGGCAGATATCTGCTGAAAGAGACGCCTTAACAGAAGAGAGATCAGTCCTCCAAAAACGTGTTGACGAACTTCAAACTCAAATGGAACATCAAGTTCTTAAAGGAGATTTTAAACCACCTTCTACAAGAGTTCTACATTTAAGGTATGCTCTTATTTATACATACTCTGACTAATTCTACATTATTTTTAACATAAGTTTAACCAAGTACACATTTTTTCCTTAGAATGAATCCAGTGACAACTGCTGAAGAAGAAAGAGAGAAGGAAATGGCAATATTGAAGGCAGAGGTTGCAAAGTTAAGAGAAAGAGTTAAAATTTTGCAAGAAGGTGAAAGAGATGATATAACTTGCAAGGTTGACAAGCGCTTGGTTACCTCTAATTCCCAAGAAGTGCAAGGTGGTGATATTAGATTCATATTTTTTGAGGTTCTCATAAATCATTAATCTAATCTATTTTTGTCCTTGTTTTATTTTTAGAACTCAGAGAACAAATCAAATCTGCTGACCTGATGATGCAAAGGTTAAAAGAAGCCTTCAAGAAAACAAGTTCAGAGTTTCGGGAATGTGTATATGCTTTATTAGGCTACAAAGTTGACCGCCTACAGAACAAAGGAGGCTTGTTCAGGCTGTCGAGTATATATGCAGAGTCTCCCAATGATTACCTTTTATTTAAGGTAGGATACATAGTTACCTTTAACTAATGTGTGCATAAATCGGCTTTGCGGTATTTGTTTCTTTTGTTTTAAACTTAATTTTTTTCTAAAAACTTTCATGTTTTCTCTAGTTGGAGGAGGACTCGACATTTAACTTATTAGAGACATCATTTTCTGAATCGGTTGGGGATCTAATTGACACGCACCTTCGTCAACAAGGATCTCTCCCAGTATTTCATGCTGCAGTGACCATGGATCTTTTCAACCGGCAATCTATGATGGTACCATCTGCTTCTGCAGATGACGACGATGACGACGATCCTGTTGTTGTATTAGATTAAATATGTTTTTTTGTCTTTGTAACTTTATTATATTTATGTACATGTGATATCAGAATCATATTCTTAGTTAAGTAATGAAACAAACAGTAGTCTGGCTGGTTTTTATTTATTTTATTAATAAATAAAATTAAAATTGACAACAGTAAAACAAGGATATCAGTTTCCATATTTACAACAAAAAATTGGATTACCCGTTACTCAGTCTTGAAAATTTGGTCTCAGTTCATTATTCAGAGAAGAATTACTTCTGCTAGTAATTGTGGCAACTTGCATTTTTCGAGTTGATTTAACTGACACAACAAATTATAGTAAGCTATGATTTCCTTCAGGAGTAAACCATAGTTTATCTTATACATTTTTGATATTGAGTTTTGAGTGAAGCCCTCTTCTTTATAATTTCCATGGCTTGCTTCTTGCAGCAGGTGCATAGCTTCCTTCAAGTGATAAAAGTCCAAAATACCATCCAAAAATTGAGCCCACAAATGCATTGTGGTTTGGCTCATTGGGTTTAGAAGAGTTGTCAAATCCTGTTGAAAGCATGAAAATTAAGCGCCATAGCCTAAAGCTAATTCAGGTGCACCTGGAGGAGTGTCATAACCACTACAACTTCACAGAATGCTGACAATAGACTAAAGCAAAATACCCAGTGAAGAAATGGACATAGAAACAATATCAAACTGTGGTTTCAACACGACTTTGATCAATTCAATATCATTTCAATATGTATTTTATTTCTCACTGAGATATTCACATACTGAGCCCCTGAGGCCGAACCTTCAGCCGAACACTCCACTTTAGATAAAGTTGCCAACATTCTAGGTGCGGCTACTTGGCTTGGCCAGGAATCGTGCGGCTGGGAACCGAAAGTCCGACCTCAGTTAAGCACTCTGTGTAAATTTTGAAATCTGTCATGTGCTACTTGAAAAGGCTGAAAGGTAAGAGTGTAGCAAAAGAAAAATCATTTGGTTTATTAAATAATGCACTTCACAAAAGGTAATTGACAATTTAAAGAAATAAACAATTTCTACCAAATGTTGAAAAGTATTACAGTATAAAATGTGGAAAACATACTCTTACCACATCACTGGCATAAAATTAAGTATGGTGGGACTCATTACTTTGGAGCAGAACGCAGAGGCTCTATGATGGAGTCTTTAAATAAAACTGCCCAATCAATTCAAATTAACTCTCCTATTATACTAAATGATCAGGGATACAAAACAAAAGTTTTGCTTTGACAAAGCAACAAATGAAACAAAAATATCTTAATTAGGCTCATACACAGAGATTAATGACTTCAAATATGTAATACTAAAGAGAAGCAGGAAACATTACTCAATACTGTGCTGTAGCAAAGCAGTCAATGTAAACTTAATAGTCCTCTTCCACACGCACTGCAGTCAAAGGAATGAGGCATTCCTTAACTGAGTTCTAGCTTGCCAAGTAAAGTCCATCTCAACTACAGCATCTACAAAATATAAAGCACTGGGTCAAAAATTTAGTGATTAAGTGCTTATGACTCACTGCTGATGTCTTTCAATAGCTTTTTACAGTTTCAAAAATACAGACAGCTGACTTAAAAGACTGTCTAATAATATCTGCATGCATTTAAGCAATTTGTACAATAATTGTTGGTAACAAGAGCTAATCAATTGCAAAACATGTACCATAGATCAAGAAAGAAAAATCCAATTTATTGACTTACCAGGGATGCTGTTGTGGGAGAAACATTTAAAAGGAAGGAAGACACCAACATCTTCAGCCAGTCAGGCTTCAGCATCGCAATTGCTTTTGTCTGTAATTCTCCTAATAGAGGATCTAAAAGAAAAGCAAACATTTTGTATCTTAATGAAAGGGTAAAGGGTGTAGAGGTAAAACATACCAATGCTTTGTGACAAACATACTTCTTAACACTTCACAAAGTTTCCTAGCTAGATTTTCACATCCCTCACCAACATATGGATAGACATTGCCAAAGTTGGACTCACTAGCAATGATAACTTCGGCAATTAATCCAACAAGCCGCTAAATACACACACACACACAAAAAAAGAAAAACAAAGGGGTTAGAAAGAAACTAGTAGATCAGAATTCACACAGTTCCTTTGTACAATTAATTTACAAACCACTAATGTCTTGATGTGGCGTGGATGGAATTTTAAGATCCAAGCACTGACATATAGAGAGAAAATCCTACAACAGTAAGGGGAATCAAGGCCTGTGTCACGGTTGTTGGGCCAGAGTATCATAACAATTAAGGGGCACACTGAGCGATCCCTAAAAGTGAGGAAGAACCAAATGAGGAAATAAAGTAAGTCTGATAGAAACATGATAAATACACATCTTTACATCAAAAATTATTTTAAAAAAATCAAATAGATTAAATTTAGTTACCTGATTTTTAAGCGATCCCCACTTCTCACCCTTTCCCCATTCTTTGCAAGCCAAACAACTAGATCCCACTCAAGTATATCAACAAGAGTTTCAAACATTGCAAAAATTTGGGATGTTTTATCCCAGGTTGGCATCTTCACTTTACCTTTATCTTCTTCAGCCTTCAATCTTTCCCTAATTGCTTCTGATGACATATCATCATTTTTTGCTAGGGTTTCAGTACTCTGAACATACAAAAAATTAAAATGAATGACAATGTGAAAATACTTGTTCTAATGCTCCATATGATTAGAAGAAAAAAAAATCTTACCTCACTAATACTATCTTTGGAAGATTTTCGTCGGACATTCTTCTTGGGAGATGGGGAATCCTGGAACCTCTTTGGTTTACATTTCTTTCTGACTCCAGGAACTTTCATCTTTTCTTTTAATTGTTCTGGATTTAGTGATCCCTCTACATGGTCTTCCAATTCTTTAAAAATACCATCAAAAAATTGAAAATTTGTTAGACCCCATAAATCTGAGGGAATTTTCACCTACAGAAAAAGAAATGCAGCCATTTCAGTTTTAGATACATCTTAAATGTGAGTACAGTACATTACTTTTAGTGAAGAAATACCCTCGAGACGGATGAGTTTAGTATATGAATGTAATAACTCCTCATGTGAGGGTTGCAGGGAGGGTAATGATCAATTACTCTTCTTAAATAAGTCCTCCCAAGGGCAAGTATAGCTGCATCTGAGTTGTTCTGAAATCAAAATTATCAATTTTAACACATGTCAATCAAATGAAATGTTTTCATCTAGCCACTAATACTTACTTTCATCAGGTTAAAAACTGTGTGGATAGTACCAGGAGAAGGGAATGTTTTGCTTGATAAATCTTGGCAGCAAGCCCGAAGCATCATTAAAGGAAGGTCAATATTTAACATAGTTTCATAAAGATTCTCCTGATGACTTGATGAAGATGAATCATCCTATAACAAAAGATTATAGTTGAGGTGATTAAGACGTTGGATAGATCTATATTCCATGCTAAAAATAAGTTCAGAGCCAAACCTTAAAATGATTACAACCCATTGGTGCTATGCATGTAGGCGATGGAATTCCTAAACGCTTGCATGGATTCTTGATGTCGTCATCAATCAAGTTGTCTATGGCCTGTGTAACATACTCTGATGCAACACTGCAACAGTATTTTCGTGGACTTTTATGTTTCATACAATAAGAGTGTTCCCCAAAGGTATGTTCGTCAACTCTGACTAATACGACTTTAACATCAAGGCATTGATTGACACTAGCAAGTCTCTTAGGAGAACTGAGTGGATCATTCCCCATCGCCATGGCAGGTTTTTTGGGAGAAGTTCCAGAATTGTGTGGAACACTTGGCATCTCCTGAGCAGGTCTTTTGATAGAAGATGTGGCTTTGGGTAGAACAATCTGTACCTCCTCACTTTCACATCTCAATACTCCATTAACAACTTTGTTTTCTTTGTTATCCAGTTCCATAGTCTCATGCTGAAGCGAAACAGGTGAATTCCTCACAGCCTCTGGTCCTTTAAATAGCCGTTTAGGCAGCAAATATCTAAACATTTTATTGTTTTGGGCAGCTCCTTGTTTCAGTGTTAAATTAGCCCTTTTCTTAGATGGAGAACTCCCAGGAGAGTGTTTGGATTTTGACTTGCCAGGAGACAAAGATAGACTGCTAAACACCGGAAAAACTTCTTTCCTCCCTGGGGGACTGCTGAGCATGGCCAGTTTTCTGAATGCCAATGAAAAACAGTAAAATACTAATCTCCGAAATGGTAATAATAAATCAAAATAACCAATAGGTGTACCGTTTCTGAGGTGGAGTTGTCGCAGTTGCGATCGGATGAACAGGTGGTGCCGCCATTCCTCTGTAAATAGACAAGACAATGCTCATTCCTAATTCCCAAAGGAAACAAATATGTTGATAAAAATGACACCAGTCAAATAAGGTAATTTCTCTCTCGTCGTAATCATGAAAGTACAATAAAATATACCTGAGGAACATTTCACGTTTTCCGTGAGCTGTATTCCCGCTCGGATAACATAACCTTTTACAAACTCTTTTTTGCACAACAAACAATGGAGAATCAGTACCACCACTACTACTTTGGTGAATATGGTGGAAAACTACACGACCACTATGGTAAAACCATATAAAATAAATGTTGGACGGTGAGTATAGCGACTAAACCCGTATAATCGAATGACTCGCCCCAAATCAAGTCAAGAACAATTTTTCACTACCGCGCCTTTTCTTATCGCTCGGTTGGATATGCTGAAAATAAACAAACAGTTGAGTTCATTGAACGAAATATTGCGGGTTTTTGAAAGTGCGATAGTGCGATTGGTAGAGATAGCTTGAGAAAGGAGATAGTTTGGATTTATTTTCCAATTGACTCCACAAGTAGTAAGAGATAAACCCATCGGATACCATTTAGTTGCCCAGCGAAAGAAAATCAAAAAATCGTATCATATACTATGGACGACATGAAGGATAAGAGTATACACTTCACGGCCCAAAAACTTTCTGAAGACATTCAAAATATGAAAATCTATAAATCATTTTACTCAGAGATTCAGGTAAAATGACATTAAAATTGGAACTTTATATTTTTGAGAGTTAGTGTGTGTATGTGTGTTTCTTTTTCTTTTCAGAAACTTGTTTCCTCACCAAACGTCCGTAAAGATGATTTTAAAAATACGTTACTGGACTCAATGAAAAAAACAGGGATGGAGACTGAACTACGCAATACTGTTTTCCACTGGGTTCGATCACATAATAACAGAGATTCAGATGGCATGAGTTCTGTTGTTAGGGAACCTTTAACATACTTGCGCAAAGCTCAGGTACACATTGAACATGATAAACTCACTATAGAGTCATTTGAAATTTTTGACTTTATACTGAGTTTTTTGTAATATCATCTATATCTTAAGAAAGTTTCATATACTGAGCTATTTTTTCGTCTCATGTTTCATCTCATATCCAGTTACAGTGGGAGAAACGTATTCACAAGTCTCTTAACTCTATGTGTGGAGAACTTGGAGTTCCCTTAGCACGTCTAAGACAAACTACAGATAGAGAGGAGCTAGATGAGAAGTGGACTGAGCTGAGCACATATGACATAGGTGTGTTATAATCCAAATTGCAAACACAATACAAAAGTGCAGGAATTTCTATTTTCACAATTAATTTTGAATTTCTCCTTTACCCCTTTTTAGATCTCAGTCAGTATAGGCCTGTATATGCTCCTAAAGACTTTCTAGAGGTCTTACTATTGATACGCAGTCCAAATTATCGAATATTAGAGTAAGTTTTCTCAATGAAATAACAAAACAATTTTCAAAAAAAATAATTAACTTAACAATTTTGTTGAATTTTTTATTTTAGTGAAGGTGTATGGGATTTCACTCAAATTCCTTTGAAAGTGAAGAATATCACTGAGCTGGTGCGTAATCAAATTCCAGTATTGTTTGTAAAATAAACTGTTCTGTTGGTTTCTTTACTGTAGTATGGGTTTGTATGTAATTTTTAGAGAGCTCTCTACCAAGAGCTGTCGAGAGGAGAGGCCTTGCTTGGAGTAAATCCGTACATGGCATCATCTAGTAGTTACCCGACTTTGGAAGCTGAGCGTACAACGCTTGGGGAGAAAGGTACAGTGACTTGCAGAAATCATGTTTGTATTCCAAAACAAGAAGATTACAAGGGATTTACTTCCTTACAGTACTTCTCTCCAATCAAGCCCCTGTAGCCCAGGAGTTCCTTAAAAGGGGTTCACCACGATGCCTACGAGGAAGACTATGGGCCCAAGTATTAGGATCTGCAGTGAAGCAAACTGTAAGGGTTTTCATTCATAAGATTGACTAATGATCATATTAGTTCACATTTACTGGACTGTTGACTGATTTTATTAAATTACTCCATTTAGCATAGAGAATACTTTTCAGAGCTCAAACAGTTAGTCCTTCAACATGACCTCATGGTTGATAAGTTAATCATAAAGGTAAAAGGAGTTGTTTCTCATAGATGTACTGCTTTACTAGGTCACAAACATCACAGATAAAACATCAAAGAGCACTTACATAAAATAGTTCTTTACTGTTTTGTTTCAGGATGTTCAACTCACAGCCTCTAATGATGATCAATACTTTGTCTTTGAGGATGTTTTATATCAAGTACGTAGCTACACTTAATGAATATTTAAATCTCTGAGACTCGTTAATATGTTGAGTTTTTTTTATTATTTGGTTTTAAACTTCTCCAATTATTTCAGGTAATGTTGTGTTTTTCTAGAGACACTGAAGTTCTCTCAGTTTTTAATCATAGTTCTGCTAGTCCAATAAATGCTATATTGAAAAGCAAATCACCATCACTAGAAAACACAGTAATTTATCCTCCTAGTGGTGTCATTCCCTTTCATGGTTTTACTATGTATGGTATGTATGGGCTTCATATATTAAATATATTTATGAAACATGTTTGCCTTGTGAGTTTACTGTATTTTCTTTGTTCAGCTACTCCATTTTGCTACTTGTATGACGACCCTGTTGCACTTTATCATACATTGAGAGCCTTCTACATGCGGTACTGGTTCCGTTTACATGAGGTGTCCTCCCACCCTCAAGGCCTACTTGCACTTTGTATACTCTTTGAGAGATTGTTGCAGAGACATGAACCACAGCTTTGGATGCATTTTAAATTAATGAATGTTCAACCGTAAGTTCTTTGTAATAAAGAAGTTAATATATGTACTTTTACATTTTAATTTGATGCATTGCATTGTACATCTATACATTTATTTCATTCAGCATCCGTGTTGTTTTCAAGTGGCTCATGAGGAGCTTCTCTGGACATTTACCTCCAGAACAGCTATTACTATTATGGGATCTAGTATTAGCTTATGATTCCCTTGAGATTCAGGCTTTACTGGCTGTAGCAATTTTAAGTTTTCGTAGAGAAAATTTACTGCAAGTTAGCAACCAACAAAATGTTGAGGTAAGTTCTGCCTATCCCATGTACTGACAATCCATAAATTTTGACAGTCTTAAAATTTGTATTTCTGCTTCAGGCTGTTCTTGCAGATTTATCATCTATTGCTGTGATGCCCCTTCTGCAGTTAACATTGATGAGGGACTAGATTAAGTATTGACATATGCCTCCATAGTCATGGTGAGTTACTTATCTATTTATTACAAAATATCTTGCTGGTGATGGTGGTGATAGTAGACAACTAATATTAAAATTTCATTGAAAGTTCATTAATTTAATTCAGGTAAAAAAATATTTTCATAATTAGTCTCTCTGAGTAACATTTAACAGCATATTCAAACATTTTCTGACTAAGTCTAACGTAAGAAACTATCAACTATCACAATGGTCTAACTCGGAAAAAGAACCTTTGCCACAAAGACTCATGATCCCCTATTCATTCCAGTGTTGTCAACAACAACCAAAAACTACATACAGTAACACTCATTCTTTCATCAACACCTCTGTCAAGCCTAATGTCAGTCTTTCACATGAACAGCCTTTATTTGAGCTCAATTATCAAACATCCATTTGGCAACAACAAAAATGAAATATTCAATGAATTAATAAATGAATTAATTAATGAAAAACAGTAAAGTATAATATTTTGTTAGTTAACATACTCCAATTATACGTTCCTACTTGGTTGGTCCCTTTTACAATAAATTTTTGAAAAACAAAGAAAATTGCATTAAGGAACCTTTTAAAAGAACTTTTAAAACTCTATAAAGTGCACAACAGGCACAACAGATTATCTGTATATTTACATACATTTATGTTGTCATGGTCAAATGTGTATCAAATTAAAGTATAGTCCCTCACTTACTGCTTCCGCCACCTGCTATCCAACTTTTGATTCCCCCCTCCGAAACTATATTGTGATTCAAGTATTTAAAAAATGTAACACTCCTTCACACTTCTGTGACAGGAAAAATAAGGCAAGTGGATATTGCAGACAATGACAAGTGTTGGGCTACTTTTGCTCCAGTCAAATTGATTTTGTTTAAAGATGAGCTTTGTGTTTCACAGAACTGTTTCCCTTTCCCATATCAATCACATCTCTCATTGAGTAGAAGGTTTTACAAAGGTTTTGAAAGAATTTTGTTGCACTAGTTTCTGTGCTGTCTCTCATAACAGAGATTGTGAATGTAAAGCTGGAAGCAAAGAGAAAGATTGATTTACATGATTACAACTAATATTCATCATTAGAATTTTAAATGATTTCACATTACCTGTCAGGACAAATATTGTAGAAAATACCGTAGCCATCCAAGCACATAGGAGCAACACCACCTCCTACTGGAGTGTAACCAACTAAACTAGTAGATAAGATAAAATTTCCATTGCCACCACTGGAAATATTAGGAATTATATTAGATATAGAAGATAACTTGATAATGTTGGATCTAAACTTCCATCAAATTAACCTTTTAGTATAAGATGGGTCTTTAAAAATATCAGGAATTGGCTTTTGACTTTCTTCAGCAATGCAATAAAGCCCAAATAAATGTCGGTCACAACCATATCCTTCACGGGCTTCTTTCATTAAATCGTCATGTTTTTTAGCTGCAATTTTCAGAAGCCGAAGTTTTTCGTCTGCCTGTAGAGAATCATTCTTATAAGATGTTGACACTATTCAAAACCATACTTGTCATTCAAACTTCACAAAGATTATATTTCTCTCTACCTTCATTTCCTTCTCTACCATGGCCTTAATCCACTCGCCAAGTTCTACAGTGCAAGGCCTCAATGTTTCAGTCCTCCCATTATAGAAAGCTCTCGTTGTTGCAGTTTCATAACATGGAGCTAGTCTAGAAATGTAATAGGTTCAGTGAGGTTTTTTCTTTTAAAAAAATATATTACAGTAAGTAAGATGTATAGTCACTAACTTTTGATGCATGCTAAAATATGTGAGCTGCAGCGCCATTTGCACAAATGTATCTGGATGAATGCGGTTTTTAACTGTATAAGCTTTTCCATAGCTGGAAAATGTTTCTCGTACTATAACTACTTTAGATTTCTAAAATAAAAATAGGATATTTGTACACACAGTTTCAAACAAAAGCAAGGAATTGATATATTCATGTATGTTAACTTAACTTTACTTACTGAAATAATTAACCTCAAATCTGCTGAGTTAAGCTCTTCCATTAAAATTGGATCAAGGACAAAACTCAAACTTCTGGGTTTTGGTAGTGCTCGAACTGTCAATGGTCCACGCCATACACCACCAGTTTCCACCAGTGATTGGTAAATGTAAAAGCTATTTGTGACACTTATCATTCCATCAAATGCAGTGTGCTAGAATTCAAATCAAATTTTACACCATTAAAAATTTGGAAAACGGTAAACATGTTAATTTACAGTTATTCACTTAGGGTTAGTCATAGACTCACATCAGCTAAGCCGGCACATCTGCCATTCCCAAAAAAAACTATTTGTACCGATTTATCAGCCCACAAGTTCTTATACTCTCCTGCTATCGAGGACATGGTCATTTCACTAGCAGTCTCAGGTTCTATATTCGGTTCCAATATCAACACACTGATGGCAGACTCAATTAAGTGTAAATTTTGAGCATTTTCACCACTTATCTTTCTTAGATGATTGTAATTCTGCAAAAAAGAATTATTTTTTTGAACTATACAAAATTTATTTCTCCTGTTTGTTCTGTAAAGCTTAATCCTTTCCTTGTTTTTTTTTTTCTTTACCTTGGCCCACGTATCTCGGTTATCACAAGTGAGAATGGAAATTCCTTGTCCTAAGGTCTGAAAAGCATCTTCTATTACGAACTGAAGTTGTTGTTCCCACTCAAGTGGAGTTAAAATTGACTCAGTTGCTTCATCAATAGCATCCACAATGTAAATATGTCCATTGCAAGCCACAACAACGTGAGAGGGACAGAAACCCTCTTTTTCTGTGATCCAAAAAATTAGTAAATCAGCTGATATCTGAACCAAATTCATAAATGAAATAATAGACCTTATTTGTTCCATCAAAGTACAGTTTTGTTACCTGTTTTGAAGTGGATGTCAAGTCGATCTCTTTTGGGAAGTGGAATTCGACTACAGTTGAAGAGCCTTCGAAACTGATACATACTGAATATAATTTTTCCATCTGCACTTTGGGTTGGAACTAAGAGTTCTGTGCGTAGGAGTTTCCACATTTCAATTGTATAATACATCCAGAGAGATGCATGCTAAATTTGACAGGGAAAAAAAGGCAATATTGACAATGTGTTTTATAGATATTTGTATATTGATATTACATAGGCATTGTGTGAGCACAAATAACATACCTTTACCATCCGGCCTGGGCCAAATTTCCAGAAATGGTCTATAGGTGACACTCCAGTCATTGAACAAAATGGCACCAATGGTAGTCTATTTTCCAGGTATGCTTTATCTTCCCACCATTCTTCAACCTATGAAATAAAAATAAGGAAGATTTTTAAAGTTTTTCTTCACAAAACAGTACAATACTTTAAGGTTTAGACTGGACAAAATCTTACCCAATTTTTGTTTGTTGCTGCCTTTGCTTGTAGTTTTTCTTGCAACATTTTCCCCTCTGCATTTTCAAATTGCTGCACGATATCTTTTGTTTTTGCTAACTCAGAAGGAGAAACAAATGGTTTCACTGAATCAACATATCTCTGTAGCGTATGAGACAGTGGTGGAAGTGGAAGAGGTGGTAGCTTTTTGTCCACAGAGAAAGTTCGCAAGGTTCCCTCTGAGGGAAGCCGCATTGCTTCTACAATCGACATGATGACCTGAACAAATTCACCTGCAACAAATTCAAATAAGTTCAGACAAATAATTAATGCAATTCAAAATTTCACGTTTTGCTTTGAAAATACATTTTGTAATAGTACATGTAAGGTTCGTATAAGAGGTCCCACTGAAGGGTTGGAATCATTATTACAGATTCTTGTCTAGAGGCCCAGTGTCTGTTTGTTTGTACTCATGCGGGGCCGCCTAACCTAACCCTCATATATGTAAGTTCAAAACACGCACCTTCTTAAAATATTATCAAAAACCAAACAATCATCTTTTTTGTGGCTTTTCTACCCGTTAATCGACACTGCTCGAAAAATATGGAATTTCAAAAGGTTCGGGAGCAATCCTGACATAAGTCATGGCATCAATAATAATAATAATAATAATGCAGTTACCTCAGTGAAAAGTACCAGGAGAACTTTTTTTTTACGTTTACTAGTTCGCACTTGCGCTGTCTATCAGAACGCAGGTTTCATTCCTTCATTCCCCATAGACTCGACGACGGCAACTCTCACTTCTGTTTACACAACACCATAGGCAGCTGACACTCCCCACTCCACCCTTGCCCCCCACCCCCACCTCCCATTTCCCCTTCCCTTGGAGCCAGGCCTTCCCCGGCGCGTGGTGGTGGTGGTTCCGAATTAAAATAAAACGTGTGTGCGTGTGTGTGAGAGAGAGAGAGAGAGGAGGGGGGCGGGGGTGCATGATCACGGTCCGAAGTTCGTCGGTCGCTGCCCGCCGCCCGCCGTATGGGATTTGGACTGAGCTGAACCCAATAACAGCGCAAAAGTGGCGGCAAACTGTACCACATGGCAAAATCCAATGCACGTCGCTGTCGCACAACAAACTATTGTGTTTTCGTTTTAATAAATTAAACTTAAACAATTCCATCACTATATGCCCTTTCCTGCCACGCTGTGGGAAAAGGGGAAAAGTATGGCAGCATTTTTTGGAGAGCTTAAAATGTGCATTAATCCTCATTTTCTGGGTGTTCTATACCCTAGCTGAATAGTGGCCATGGAGCTGGGATTGATTAATTGATTGATTGCTTGCTTGCTTGCTTGCTTGCTTTCTTGCTTGATTGATCGATCGATTGATTGATTGATGGATTGATTGATTGATTGATTGATTGATTGATTGATTGATTGATTGATTGATTGATTGATTGATTGATTGATTGATTGATTGATTGAGTCAGTTCGTAAGTCAGCCACGTGCATTCAGTCGCTGTATGTGAGTGATAGCACTGAGATAAGCGGTCAAGTCGCCCGCCTCAGAGCAAGATTAGAAGAGGGAGAGGGAGAGGGGCAGGGGGAAGTCCCTCACGCCACCCTCTTATTCCCTGGACACGGCACACCGACTAGCCGACTAGTAGCCGTTGCACCCACTCTCGAACCTTGGAGCCACACCGGCCGCCCCTCTAAGTATTCACGGCGCCGCGGGTGGGCTGCCGGGGCGGCGGACTTGGGCCGCGGGAGTAGCGTCGTGCGTGAGGTGACTCAAAGGTCATGGCAGTGTCGCAGGTGTACACAGATAATGGAATCACCCACCTTAATTAAACGCACCTTGGGGAATAGAAAGCTCGCTCCTGCCACACGCTGCCACACGCGCCGTCCGCCACGCGTTGTTTGGCTGCCGGCTTTGCCTGGCTCTGCCGCGGCACTGTGCTTCGTGTATGCTTTGTGGGCCGGTCAACCGCGGCTGTCGGTGTCGGGAGCAAGTCGAGCGAGCCGGTCGCGTGCGGTTAGGGTTAAGACTGCCGCCGACCTTGCGCCTGTGGCCAGTGGAGACGGCAGGGGCACGTGCACTCCAGACTGTCCAGACCGGGGTGGGGACACTGGGCCTCCTCACCAAGCCTCCTAATCGGTTCCGTGAGACCTTGAGTACGCCGACTGCGGCGCTCAAGCTCGCAGTTCACTGGGAATACTGGAGTGATGCGTCTCGCCTAAAAAGAGTGACGGAATTTATCGCCGCCTAATGAAAGCGTTATGCATATTTTCGTCACCCCATGTAAGTGATGATTATGAGGCCATCGCTCGTAGCTCTTCAAACGAGTGATGGCTCTGGATCCGGTCGTCATTCAAATAAAGCAATGTGTTCCAAAATCATCACTCCAATAGAGCGACGAAATGGGAAGCAGTGCTTCTCTCTTTCGCTTTCCCAAGAGTGACGCGCGCGACTTCTGCCTTTTGAGTGTTACAGCAGCGCAGAGCGATGAAGGTGGCGTACTCTGGTACTAAGTACTGAACTGGAACCCTGACAAGCGCAGGTAGCCCAGCGTTCCCACCGTAGTTCAGACGGGTATAGTTAGGCCGGGCGCCGGCCGGCAAAGGTGTCGAATGGGCTGCCTAGCCACCGGGCGTCCAACTGACTGACCGGATGTAGTAGGATGGCCGCTCTGCCCCGTAGTTTTAGACCAGGGGGAGGGGGCAGGAGAGGTAGGTGCGCATTCAGCGCGAGCTGGCTGCGCACCTCCACTGAGCTAGTAAGCTCGCGTCGAAATTCCCGATTTCTGCGAGAGTTTTGCCGTAAATTGTTGGTCAAAGCACTGGCACATCACCGAAAAATTATGATAAAACTCATTCCGAGCGAAATGGACCATAAATTTATTACTCAAATACGGGGTGGTCCACAGGCCCCCTCCTTTATTTCGCCTATACTGTACCGCATGCAGGCGTGCGGGCGGGCTTGCCTACCGTCGCTCATCGCGGCACCTTATGGCCCCGTACGAGTATGCAACCCGGCCGCACGCCTGCATCCAGTACAGTATAAGCAAAATAAAGGAAAGGATCCGCAGACCACCCTGTAGAGTGAGAAAAATAAAATCTCGCTCTCAGGAGAGCAATATTTTGGGGGTCACTGATTACTGATCTCGCTCTCTTAAGAGCATAAGGAGCAAGTGCCTTTTTTCACCAATGCAGATGCAGGGGGACCGTGCCCGGTAGAGGAGGGGAAGAAGTCGAGCTGAAAATGGCGTTATGTGTGGTCCGAGTCGAGCGAGGGCGGCAAGCCGGCGGGGGATGGCGGTGCGTCGACAGATAGCTCCGGGGGGTTGTTGTGAGCCACGGGGGTGGCGGGGCGCGGCGGGGCGCGGTGGGGTCGTGGCACTCCCTCCAGCCTCCTGCTCCAGCGGCCCCAAGCCCAGTCCTCTCCCAACCCCCGTGCCGCCAGCGTTCGGAAGTGCTGTAGCGGCCCGCCAGCCCGGCGCAGCACGCAGTGTAGATCGCTAAGCCCGCCACGCCTCGCCGCCCGCCCGGCCGGGGCGCGGTTATCTGAACCAGGTGAGGACCGCGACACGGGACACACCCACCAACAGCATCAGGTGCGGGGCGCGCTTCAAAAGAAACTCACCGGACTCATCGGCGGTGTAAAACTGAAGCGAACTGTTTATCGTGGAAAAGGGGGCAGAGGAGAGAGAATATAGTTGGAACCCACAGTCAAGGAAAACGGGGCGGCATCTCAAGGTGCGACCACCCAACGGCTGAACTCGAGTGTGCTCGAGCAGGCCGTCGGAGAGGTCTTTAGTGCACCTGGTATTACTCTCGCACCCAGCCCCAGGGCCCCCAGGCCCTCCAGGCGGGCCCCCTGTGCTCGGCTTGAACAGAGAACATCAGCTTGCCCCAATCGAGGGACCCCACAACTCCGGCAATCTGGTGTTCACCCAGCCTGGCACTACGACAAACTTCGGCAATCTTTGGGCAATCGGACTCAAACGCCATGCTAGACAAACAGTTCCCTAAAAGACTGTCTCTACCTGAAGCAAAGTCTCGCAATTCTGGTCTGGCAATTCGGTGTTACACTCTACACGGGACTAGAGATCCCCTCGGCTTCCTATGCAAATTGCATTGCCATTCGCCCCGATACAAATGTTCTTGCTAAAACAAGGGTCAAGTAGTAGTACACGCTTTCTTGGGTGCGGCCCGCCCGAGCCCGCCCCCGGTCTCTTCGGGGCCCCCGTCTCCGCTCACAAAAGACACGGGCCAAAGTGTCAGGTGTGCCACGGGCGCCGGGCGCCAGCGCTAGCCATGCGCAAGCTGCGCTGCAGTAACGAGTCGCTCGCTTTGTTCCACCAATACCATCCCGACGCGACGAGGGTCGAGGGGTTGGTCTCCACTCAAAGCGCCTGCCGTTTGGGAGCCCGGCCGCGCCGACTGGCTGCAGGGCTGGTGGTTCAATAATACGGCTTGGTGAACCGCCAGTAAACAGCGTAATACACACCACGGTAAAAATATATTAACTTATGACATCTTGGATTTCAAGCGATCTGCTTGGTTTTCAAGACAATTTTCAAGGAATCTGCTTGAATTTCAAGATGTTCCTTTTGCCGTGACTAACTGGGATGTACTTTTTCGTACATGTCGTTTGGAGTGATTCGTGCGTGCTCTATTATGCACAAAAACGAGCTTAATGATGTACACATTTATACAGAAATGTGTTAAATTTTGTGAATTAGACATAAATCTATGTATTTTTATATGCTTAAAATTATACACATTTATGTCTGATTTCGTGCATAACTGAGCACGCACGAATCACTTCATAGAGGGTGGGTGATCCGCGCCGTGTTTTTTTCTGCTTTTACTGACCGGATATGCGTGCGGGCGGGTTTGCATATCGTCGCTCGCCATGGCGCCTTATGGCCCCTTGTGAGAATGCAATTCGTCCACACCCGCACCCTGTATGATATGTAAAAAAAGGTACTTTTCCAGTTTTCCAGTTAGTGTGTACCACACAGTGGCATGAATCACAATTTAATGGGGAAGCATAAACTTACACCATTTGTCGACCATTTGCCACTTCGTGAGACAAAACGCTTTTTTTTTTGTCATTTGCCATAGAACGACAATACCTAGTGAGTATGGTCTTTAAAGAATTTCTTTTCCCGAGTCTATTTCGGTCGGGGGCGATTAGAACCGGAGACAAATTAAAAATGTTCCCCCTCGTGCATGGCGGGCGGGGCGTGCCCGCGGCCGCAGCGCTGGCCGGTGGGATCCCTGCGCGGGGTCCCTGCGCGGGGTGCGCCCCCGCTCGCCGTCAGATCCCCTCCAATTGACGCGGAAAGGGGCGGACGAGCTGAAAACAACTCGGTGGGAGAGAGGCGAGAAGACGTCGTCGCGACGTCTTACTTTTAAAGTAATTGAAACGGTCCGTAAAATGAGGGCTCATTTTTCGTGCCACTTCGCTTCATTGAACTTGAAAGGAAGTGAAGACACGGCGGAGTTTCACACAGAACGCGAATCCTATCCTCTGATTGTTCTTTCACCTCCGCATTTTTCCCCCATTTTCGCCTCGCCCCTCGCCCTTCTTCCCCGCGACGCGGCCAGTCTCTGCGCGCGGCACCGCGAGGCGAGAGGCACTATCGCAAATAATTGGCTGAGCGACAAGTGAATGAGTCGGAATACCACCTCGAAGAGAGTCTCTGCAATAAAAAAATAAAACTAGCTGAAAAAAGTGGCCATATTTCCCGCTCTGTAAAATACCTGGACAGAATAGGTTCGTTTAAAAAACAAACAAATCACAAGCTTGCAAACTATTTCTTTGCAATGCCTCGTCCAAGGTGAACTTTTGGGAGGTCACTGATCTTGCTATCCTGAAAGCAAAGATGTATGACCTTAGTATTTACAGTATAACATGATGTTCTGGCCCACTGGTAAAACCAGGGTTGGGAACGTTACTTTTCAAAAGGAACGGATAACGTTGACGTTGACCGGGACCAAAAGTAACGCGTTTCGTTTACGTTAACGGTCCTGATTAACGTAACGCGTTATCGTTAACCGCAACGAGTTAACGGCGATAACGTTAAATCAATTTCAAGGTCCCCCTGGTGATATACCAACTACTACCTGGATATGCACGGTTTTTATCAGAAGCATCATCAACCCGTTACCCCCTCCCCTAAATTTCTTGTTCACTTCAAGTTATTACACCTTAAAATTATTTTGTCGAGGCGTAGAACATGTCTTTTTTCCATTGGCACCCTTCGAAGCAGCCGTTTTTGGACGAAAAATTAACGATAACGCCGTTAAGTCGTTAAGGACAAAAAGTAACGCGTTTACGATATCGTTACAGGCAGCCCAAATCTTATCGAGTCAACGATAACGTTAATTAACGTTAACGAAAACGCTGTAACGCCGTTAATCGTTAAAGTAACGTTCCCAACCCTGGTCGTCGGTCACCAGAATTATTGGTGACGACCATGTTGCAATTAGTATTTCAAAATTATGCTATGGCCCGCGCTCTGCTGCTCTGTACCCTACGTACGTGCAGTGACTAACAGCGGCATCAACAGTAACGCCGTATAGGTCGTTCCGTGTAAAACTCATATTTTTACAGTGAACGATTTGGGGATCAGTACGTTACGAATAGACCACCATAGTCGTTCTGTTCTAATTATGACACAGAAATTCTTCATATTGTGGAGAAAAGATTCATGTTATGGAGCTCGACGTAGGGCTGGGCGGTTTTTCAATATATTGACCTCAATATCAATATTTTTAAATATTGAAACCAATATTTTAACATAT